AATAGTAATTCAGGACTAATTTATTTACATCTACACCTCTCTGGAAACAAATAAAAGATTATCACTTCAGTGAACATTGCTTCACTTGAAATCAGCAGACCCTGTTTGTGCAAAGAGGCTTGCAAAGCTACACAGCAAAAATAAGAAAAAGAATGCACATTCCTTTACTGTGCCAGCAAGGATTACAAATAAAGGCAAAAAAACCCCCCAAAACAGAATAACAGTTGGATGGCCTTCTGAGTTTGAACTGCTGCCAGTTACTACATCTTGAATTAATTGGCAGAGTTTCACCTATGAAGAGTTTTGCTATGCAAACTACACTCAATTTCACACACAGGTCTTATGGGAGTCCTCGGCTCCCTTCATGCTTGACACTTTTAGCAGTGACTTTGATGCCTGAACTAGCTAGTATGGCCAAAATATTGCTCCTGATCACTTAAAAGAAAGTGCCTATTTAATGGAGCTGCCACCATGGGGTACAGCAAGAAGCTGTGGGCTTCTGCTTCGGTCCCGGCTGGGCGTTGCCATGAGGCTGAGTGTGTGAGGCCATCGGCCCCCAGCACAACTTTGTGCAGGGCGTTTACACCCAGCACGCCGGCTCTGATAATTTTTCAGCAAGGTGAGGAACGTACAGCAGTTTCCTTCAAGCCCCAGCTACTACACGTGGTGGGAGAAAAAATCCCACCAACCCTCTGACACTGTATTTCAGGTTTACCGCATCTTTCAAGTTAGGGAGGTGCACTGAAACAATGCAAAGCTCCCGGGTTTCCAAGAGTACAATTACAAGACAAAAGCCAAGCCTTGTGCTAATTACATGTTCAGCTGACTCGGGAAGTCAGAGCTCTAAGGACAAAACCCAAACAGCTAGTGACTCAGCAGGACAAGCATCTGCCGCCTGCCCAGTGCTTCACTGCCCAGACCACAAGAGCAGGTCTTCCTCAGCACACTGTGCTTTAATTGGTCCTGCCCCTTCATGTTAAACACTGAAATGTTCTGCTCATGAACCGTCAAGGGAAAGCTTAACCTAAGCCAATGACATACAAATGAAAAGGCACATATGTTTGCCAGGTAAATGGTGTTTGTCCACTGCTGGGCTATTCATTCTTGGGCTTTACAATATCTCATTCTTCGACTTGAAAAACATTAATCCTGTTAGCAGAGAACAGCATTTAGCCAGAATGATAACACTTCATGCAGGAGATAAGTAGATCTTCTGACAGGCCAACTAACAAGAAAACAAGTAATAAATTAGCTGCAAAATGAAGTCCCTCTGGATGCAGTGCCTGAGCACATTTGCTTTGTAATTTATTCTGCTAATACATACAGAATTATTCAACCTTTGAGACTAAGAAGTGAGATTATTTGTTTGCAACTCTCTTCTCATTACAACTGTCTTGATTTTCTTTTCATGAAAAAAAGTTCCTGAGGTCTTAATTGATTAATTCTTATTCAAGTATCTCATGGTAGCAATCTGGAGAGCATGGTCAGGTACAGAATCTATGGATCCCATATCAATGCTTGGAATGGGAGAAAGCACGGGGCAGCTCAGACTTCACATTTTCATGAAATCCATAACTCAGTTTCTTTGGACACAAGGCAAAGGAAATTGATTTCTTTGGCTACAGTTCCTATATATTCTCTCCTGTGTTCCTGAGCCGCAGAGAATAAAGAAAGGGAATAAAATAAAATAAAAATGCTCCAAGCTACCACCCCAGCACCTTAATAAAAGGGAATAAACCAACATAAGGCAAATAGAAAGTAAACACAATTCAATGAAGTCTGCAAAAACTTTTCAGTTTGAACCTTAGGGGTTTGTTTGTTTGCATTCATATTTTATAAATAGTTGGCAGAGTAAGTTTGCCAAGGTGGACATTCAGAGTAAATTAAAAGCAAACATTGAAGATCAGTTATAAGAAGCAAATTTTGACCCAGGAAACCCAATATGTATAGGATTTCTCATAGTTATCTAATCCAAAACTGAAGTTACAGACTATGTGAACAGCCCTGCTGGAAAGAACAATGAAAGGAAGTGGTTTTGAGCAGTTTTATCTGTCTAACACTGAATACTTTTTGCCCAGCTACCCATGTGATCTATGTATCTCATCATAATATCTCAGTTTTCAAATAACAAAGGTTTTCAGCTCATTCCTAGTGAAGCAGCAGCAGCAGCAGACCAAGGCCTCTTCTATAAAGTCAGAGAAAATACCTTTGGGAATAAATAATCTTTCTCTGGAAAGCTGCTCAGGGAGCCATCCCAAACAAGGAATCCCATACTTTGAGGCTTGCAGCCCAAGCTCCATGCAGTCAGAAGCAGATCAAAACCAGTAACACCAAAAGGACTCTCACAGCAATGACTACTGTTGTCTGCGATCAGACCACCTAAGGGATCATTTTTAAGGACCAGATGGGAGACATGAGAGACGGAAGTGGAAACACAGTGCTGCAGCACAGCCCTGCTCATGTGCCCCTGCCAGGATTTTCATTTGTGTATTCCGTTCCACTCCCTCTTCTCTTTCCCTGGGAAAGAAAGGGGTAGGAGGATTAGGCAAGTGAGCTCTCTCCTCACTGCAGGGATGGTTACAAGAAGTAGCATGCCATCAGGCAGCTCCAGAACAGGGCAGAAAGGGGATAAGATACTGGGGCCCCATCAGGAAGCTCACACAACTGCCTCGTCCTAAAGTGTCACACATAAAGCTCTTCAGTCACACCAGCCGTCTGACCACCACCCATTACCAGTAGGATGTTTGCCCAAAACACAGGGAAAGGCTTTCAGGAAAACCCTGCTGGAGTGGTACTATCAGCAGTGGCCTCACAAAAGGAACATGTTGACCTCCAAACTTCAAGTACTGTCATCCTGACCCTAAGATTCTATTTGAGCAAGTTATCAAACCACCATCTTGACATGGCTATGAAAAAAAAAAAAAGAAGTATTACTTGTTTGTAACTTTTAAAAAAATAAACAGCTTCCTATCAGTATTAAATTGAAAATGAGTTTCTATGGCAAGGGCTGCCCTGAAAAAAAAAAAACAAATTCTTTATCAAAAGAAAACATTTTTCAGACACACCCAAAGACATTGCAGAAAAAAACCTCTTTACCTCCACAAATATACCAACGGGCCAGGCTCAGAAATAGGAAACATAGCTCTATGAAGAGAAAATTGTGGACTAGAGATATCCATAGCCCTTATAAATTGCAGATAGGTAAGAATATTATTTAGCCTCTTGAGGTTTCCAGGTAGCAGAAAACTACTGAAGCTATGCAAATCATTTTGGTATAAATTTATCCTCATTGTAGCACTGCTATGTTTCAGCTTCTAATTCCATTCAGCTTTAAAAAGAAATTCTCTTCAGAGACCTTGACTTTCCATAGAAAATTAACCAAAAGATACCATATATTCAGACACTCGGTAGCATGTATTTATATGTGAAATAATGCAAAAAACAGGAACCAGTTTGGAAATAAATGAGTCTGTGCTACAGTCAATTTGAGACAGACTTAGAAGAGGATAAAGAATTTGCTACAATACAATTTTATACACCCACTGATTTTGTGTGTGTTCATTTTACTCATAGAAATATCCCCTAAATTTGATCTTTCAGAGGCTGCAAGCACTATCACTAACACTTATGGGAAAAAAAAAAGGGGAACAACCCCCCTATTAAAAAAAAAAAAAAAAAGCCAAACTCCTCCTTTTGCACCCCCCAATCAGGCATAGCTATGACATGGTTTAACCATAGCTGGCAACTAAGCACTGCACAGTTGCTCACTCACTCAACATCCCCAGTGGACTAGAGGGAAGAGAATTGGGAGGGTCAAAGTGAGAAAATTCTCACTTTTAAGAACAGATTAATAACTGAAATAATAAAACAAATTATTATAAAAAGAAATAACAGAAAGAGATAAAGCCCCCAAAAGAAAAGCAACACAAATGAAAACATTTGTTCACTACCAACCCACCGACACCTAGCCAGTCCCTGAACAGCAGCTCCCCAGTGAACCTTTTCCCTAGTTTTATTGCCAAGCATGATGCCATATGGTGTGGGATATCCCTGTGGTCAGTTGGGGTCAGCCGTCTTGGCTGTTCCCCATCCCAACTCCTTGTGCACCCCCAGCCTGTTCACTGTTGGGATGGGAATCAGAAGCAGCCTTGACTCAGTGTAAGCACTACATATCAGTAACTAAGAGATTTCTGAATTATGAACACTGTTTCCAGCACAAATAACTCCATACTAACAACCCCAGCCAAAATCAGCACCAGCTATCCAATATTAACAGGTGAGTCTCAAGGACAGTCTCTACACATCTCACCTCATAGACTCATTTTGGCATTTTTTCATGAAACTGCCTTCCCCTACACACATAAGAGTAGTCAATATTCAAATTATATCAACTGACAAGAATTCAGCTGCTTGTACTTCCCTCAATTTTACTTTTCTAGTTACTATACCAAGGATGCAGACATATAACCAAAAACAATCACAAAATCTCCTTTGACCTTCAAGCCATCCTTTGAACTTGACATTAAAGAACATACTGTAAAAGCAGGTGGGGAGTTTGGCTGACACATGCTTACCCCAAATAGATCATCTTCAGTCATAAGGAACACCTGCCTCACACCTGCATTAAGTGGGAGGCAGTGCCCTTAGCAAACTGAGCAACAGGGAAAGCAGAGGAAAGTGAAAAATGAACCCATGAGCAGAGGTTTATACTAAAATAATGATTTTTTTTTTCTCCAGAGCTACAAGTATTAGCATAGGGGTTTTTTGTATTTTTCATATCGTATCTGCCATTGGCTACTGTCCATCTGGAAAATACATAGGAGAAAAGCAAGCAGATATATCCTAATAATAAGTCCTCACCAAAAACAGAGGGTCATCTTGGGAGCAGGGTTCAAACAGAGAACAACAGATGGTGTGTGGGGTGGAAAGGCTGCGAGTCACAGCTTTCAGAGGAGATAGCTTGAAAGAAAGAAAGAAAATATGAAGAAAGAAGAAAATACCTGATTGTTATTCAGCAGCACTAACAGCAGCCAACAGCTTCTGAAGGCATCGGAGGGATAACGAGCTCTCCCCAGGGGAGAAGTACTGCCCCAAAGCAGGAGACAGAGAGCAGATCAGGTACTTGCGCACTGATGGAGCCCCCTCCCTGCTTCCAAGCAATTAACAAAACAAAAAGGCTCAATGGCAACAGCCCGAATCTGGAATGCTTTGCCTGATCACCACCCTCAGCCTGTGTCGCTGGGCCATACAGCACAGTCTGGGAGGCAAGCACGGATCACTCTCTTTATAAACACCCACTGGCTGCTTCATGGAGGTGGACCACCATTTTCATGGGTTCTATCCTTACCTCTACTCTTCACTCCAATGAAACTGATATAACTTTTATTATATCCATAACTCTATAGAAAACTACTTTTGCAATACTCTAACCTCCCTTTTAGGCAGATTTCCCATCACTGGACACCTATTACATATTGCTATTAGAGAGTACATTGTCACAATTGAAAGATAGCAAGTTTGACCCACGCTTCTTATCCACTTACTACTTAGTTCTTTGGAATGAATCTTTTTTTTTTTAAAAAAAGATGGATACTACACTCCTGTTGCTGTTTGATGCACTTTAAGTATAGTATAGTATAGTACGGTAAGTACAAGTATAGTACAGTATACAAGAAGTTCCTGTTGAATTAATGACAGTATAATAAGCTGAAGTGACAATTTTGTGAGGATAAGTAACATAGCTATAACATCATAATAGCTGCAGGAGAGCAGGGTTACAATGACTAGGAACCATCCTTCTCAAATGAAATTCTGCTCATAGCCAACTGACTGCAAATATCTGTCTCTTGATACTGGTTTCAATGAAAAAATGACAGCTGCTAATACATAGAGTAAATCTCCACAATTTCATCTTACAAAGACACAAGATTTTGCCATGAGTGAACCCCACAGTCCTTCCTCCCCATCTTCATTCTCCACATCTCCTCCTGGAGATGTGGAGATAGGAGTATCCATCTGCACAACTTCCCTGCATAATACCTGGCAGGGCCGGGTCCAAGACAGAGTATATTTGTGACCAAAGAGCCAAAACAGGAAAATATACTTCATTTTTTGTGCCTACGCCTCCCACAGGTGCATTTTGCTATCATTGTAAGTTGGATGTGTTCTTATTTTATTCAACATTAAGAGATAACAGAAAGATCCTTTGTTGGTCATAATCGATGCAGTTCTGAAGATAATCTTGAGTGCACTAACTCCATCAGGCTAAGGCTGCTAAAAAAAAATCATAACATAGAAGTAGATGCCTGGTCCAACTCCTCTCAAAGTCAGGGAAAGTCTCTCGCTCACATCAGTAATTTTAGAAATAGCTCCTGCTGTGAAGACAGTAAGGAGATTAATCAGAGTACAGTGAGGGTTCAATTTTAGGATCTAAGTTCAACTGATTTGGAACATAAGTTTAAATGAGTTTTCTTGTCATAAGCACCACACATCAAAACAGTTGTTAAAGAACATCTGCCTAGATTTGCAGTTCCATGATGCTGGAGCCCTGCTATGATCTGTGCAGCAGTGCAAGGCAGAAAAAAGCACGGCCCCATCCTTTCAGCTACGTGCTCTCAGACAGGCTTCTCGAGCACAGCTTACTGCTGCTGTCTTGCATAATATACTCCTGGAAGAGAACCCATGCTGCAACTTGATGTTGATTTTTATTAACACATAGATCTCAAATGAGAATTGAGTGACACAGAACTAACTGGTTTTGTTACTGATTAGAATTCAGGAAACAAATTATGAGATCAAAGTAAAGTATTAAAGAATAAAACCCCACAAAACCTAATATCATGTCCTAGACAGAAACTTTTGACTGGAGATGCTGAAAAGTATCTGATATTGAACAAAAAAAAAAAACCCAAACCCCAACAAACAAACAAAACCCCAAACATATATAAACAAACAAACAACAGATAAACCATTTCCCAACTTTGGAGTCATTATAATATTAGTGAAGAGAATTTTTAGCTGCTTAAGCAGATAAGATGTTGGAGAAACTTGTATTTTAGGAAACTGAAAAGTTTTTACTCTACAATTTTTCCACGGTACCATATAAATGGAGGAAATAAATTCCTGGATGCTTTATGTATTTGTTGGTGTATCCAAGGCCTAAGGTTGTATATGTAATCAGACACTGTGGGACCTGTACCCTGCTGAAATATCAGCTAGAGACAAAGCAGGAACCACTGAAGTACCTTATGCTCTTTGAATTGTTCTGTGTTGTTAGGAAAATGAACTGAAGACTTTCTGTCAAGATTGTCTGAAGAGGAAAAAAAATCCACAAGAAACAGAGTCTGGCAATTTCTTTCAGTAGGAGTTCCACAGCTGCCTGAAGTATATTCCTGCAAAATAGACTGTTTCTTTTTATATAGATTTTATTCTTACACAGCTGGTTTCAAGGACGTAGCCAGGATTTCTAGGTTTATCGAGCCATTGCTCAAAAAACTGATGTGTACCAGATGCAGAGGATGCAGTATACCTACATACAGACTCCTCGTGGTGAATTATTGGTACCTAAAGCCTTAGCTGTTTTTTTTCCTATGCTTTTAGAGCTAGCCTTCAGTTCAGCATTGGTGAGAAAACAATACACACCCTATGACAAATATGTAACAAATCAGTTAATATCATGACTATCTATACCACCTATGTGCCAGGATAAGTGCTAGCATTCAGACTATAAATATGGTAATCTGCTTCAAATTGAATTACTTAGCGACTTTGCAAATTGCTGCTTATCAGGCATTAATACTTTCCTATTCTTGCTTTAACATCTGCGTCACAGCTTAGAAAAGAGCCAGCTGAGCCAGTGAAAGTAAGAGTCACGTAGAGTTGCAAAAGTCCCCTGGGACTACCTCCTAAGACTTCAGCCTCCATCCCAAAGCCTGGTTTTCTCAGCTTTAAGAGATCCCTCAAACATTCAAAATACCACAGGGGTTTTCCTAATTAACCCTTGGTTATATTATAAATAATAACCACCTGAAGGCTGCATTTCTCTTAATTCAGACACCTTCAGGGAGACCTAAATTCCATTTCTTTCTTCCCGGAGCTGCTGGCAGATACTAGATAATGACTCCTCTCTCTCATCAGGCTCTTGTAGGACATGCCAAGAGCAAACTGCTACTTTGCAATCCAAACAGGTCTCTCACAACAGCACAATGCAGCCACAGGGCCAGGGGAGAAAAGAAAAAAGAGCTAGAAAGGAACCGGATATGAAGTTTTTTTTTATTTCTTTGTTTAGGGGGGTTTGATTGGTTTTTTTCTGAAGAAGGTAACATCCCTCACTCCTTACCACTCCCAAGACCTCTGACTTTACCATCCATGCCTTTATGAGAAATCTCTAGGACTCTTTTGTTTCCTATGTATACCTATCTGTGCCACAGACTAAAAACAGCTAATTAAACCTGATAGACCTGTTTAGAGTCGATGCACAAAAGCAAAAGTTACTTTTCTTATCAGGATTAGGAAAAGCATTAGTACAACCAAGGTCAGTCATTAGGGTGGTAAAACAGCGCAAAGCCATGAACTTGAGGGTATCACTTCATGAAGAGCAGTTAAAAGTAGTTCTGTCTCACTGGAATAATGCCTGAGAGGAAGAGAATTGGGTGGTATGCCAGCAACATAAGCAGCTGGAAACAACGAGATACATTCCTAGCAGTAATACTTTACGTCAGTTAAACACCTTTCATCCAAAGCATCTTACAAAACGATGAAAGAATCACCATCATTTTACAAAGAAGAACTGCAGAATACAGCCTTGGTGTATAACTCACTTGGATGTCAGACAGTGATCTGTTTGCATACTGTAGGCTTCTGCCAAGCAGATGAAAGTTTTTGCAGTTCATGTGCCATGCTGGAAAAGAAGAAGTGTCTGCATGAGCATGTTAGGACAGCATCAAGCCCAACTTATCAGACAAAGCCGTTCACCATGACTTTGTAGCCTCAGGCATGGCACCACCTCAGCTAACATGGTCACCTGGCTCTAAAACAAAACGTATAGGCAGGTATGTGCTCATATCTGCCTCTGTGTCAGAGGCAGGAGGAGAGGAAAAAAAAAAAGATATTTACAAGCCTGACTCTATAGAAATGAATGAGAGCTTGGCTACTAACTCAGCAAAAGCCAGATGTTTACCACAGAGCTCTGACTCACATTAGCATTACCCAAAGTCAGTTTGTGCTAGAACATGCAATGGGCAAAGACAAATTTCCCAGTGCACAGCCTCAATCACATCAGAGCCCAAGAATAACTTAGGTGTCAGTCCTCTAGCATAAAAAAATTGGAAGTGGCAAGGGTCTATATCAGTTTTGTTCTGGACCCAACGAATATGCAGCTGCACTGTTATACCAGCAAGGCTATTTTCATTTAGAAAGTCAACTGGTGCTAAAATGAAATTACCTACTTAGCATGCCAAGCGCAGATCAAGTTTATTGATAGTGTACTCTAAGAGTAGAGCTTTCTGAGAGAAACTGCTGGGTAATTATCAATTGAGATAAACATTCTGCTGCTCAGGAAGCCCAGCCCATTATAAAGGAAAAAAAAAAAAGAAAGAGTCCACTAAACATAATAAAAGGCTATTGTTAAAAAGCTCCATATAAAAATAAAATGAAAACATCAGGTCACAAGTTGGGAGGAGTGGCTCAACCACCTGGTGTCTACTAGGAATTCTATTTCCTGAGAATTTGCAACTACCTACTTCAATTGAAGAAGACATTAAGGCATTCTGATGAATTGCCCTTTATTTGATGACATTCTGTTATAGATTGGATAATTCCAATAAATTTCTTCCTACAACTCCCTTCACATCATCAACATGCTTTTTTTTGCTACATTGAATTGTGTCACCAAAATATCCAATAAAAAACCAAACAAACCAGCAACACTGGTCAAAGAGTAGATGTGCAATTTTGGCCTCAGTGCTCGACTCTGATTTGCACTGACCCCAGGAAAGAGCTCAAAGCTGCCCTAATGCAATCTATAAACAAGAACACAGTGCTGGTTTTGCACCATTGTATGAACAGAGGC